AATTCCTTCAGAACAATGGATTGCTTTGCAATTTTATCCCAAAAATCCATAGGCAAGATCTAGTATAAATTACATTAGACAATTTAAAATTAAATATAAAGTCCAAGTACGACAACTCAGAAAATCACATCCTGATACTCATTACTGTTGTGCTATATTTAAATATCTTTGTCATTTTGCTGTAAAATTTAGAGACTATGTAGCATTAATATTTGGTGATGATAAGCATAAAGTACTGATTGGAGAGGATGTTGCAACATCAACTGGAGTTAGAAATAACCATGTAGCTATATCTACTTTAGCAACACTAAATGCAAGTGATCATGACTATCTTTAACACCATCAGTAACGCTATTAGTTACAATACCTAAGGAATCTACAGATTCATTCTATAATGATCAAGTTTTTGTTTTATATAAAGATACAATTTTTCAACCTAGTTCAGCTTTTTGACATAGTACAGAATTTTATAATAACTTAAACTATTACTATAGTAATTTTTTACCTGAAATTTTAATTATTTATACTAATGGTGGGCCAGATCACGGATATACATTTGGTTCAGTTCAGATTTCTTTGATATGCCTTTTTCTCAAAGGTAATTTTGATATGTTAATAGCTGCTAGAACAGTACCGTATCATAGCTAGGCAAATCCAGCAGAAAGAATTATGTCAATAGTTAATCTTGCATTACAAGATATAGCATTACAGCGCAATCAAATGAGCAAAAGTTCTGAATTAGAATTTGCACAGCTTAAAACTATAGAATCAATTCATCAAGCATTAAAAAAAATCTTAAATTAAAAGAAGAATTATCTATATCAATTGAAGACATTCAAAAAAATTTGGATAAAAGAACACAACGATTAAAGCTACATGATAATTATTTTCTTACTGGATATACTGCTACAGATATAGAAATTGAGCAATTTTTTGAGGTAATATTTTATATTAAAATACTGTTGAATCTCCATAAACTAATATACATAGCAAACAGATTTTATATCAGTATTAAGAGATTGTCAGGTTTGAAAATATTATAACTATTAAATTTATATGACAGAAATCGACTTGGTAGATTAATTTTTTATCAAGTCATCGATTTGGACAGAATTAGTTATAGGAGATTCAACAATATAGTACAGTGTATAAAATTTGAACTAAAAACTATATGAGTCTTGTGCATAGTATACACATAATTTATGTAAATGATTTTAAAATTTTGTGCACTATATGCATATTTTGGTATGTACTAATAATTATTATAACTATTTAGCTCAAAAGTTCATGAATTGTGTGCATATTTCAAGAAACTTTTTTAAAAAAATGTACTAAACATATTGTGCATGTAGATTTTATACACTGGTATGGTGTTATTATTAAATAAATAAATAAATAATTTACATTTATATTTTAGGCCATTTATAAGATTGATTCAAGTCTTGAACAAACAATGACTACATCAAATTCATTAAGAAAATAACAACTTTATAATGAGTTTTTAAAATCCCATTGCCAAGTTCGAACCTATATATTTCAAGTTAAAAAATGTACTAATATAGAATATCAGATATGTCAACCAATTCGAATGCTACTTAATGAGTTTGAAAATTTATATTTTTTACCTGATCCTGAACTTTCTACAGGTAAAATATTATAAAAATTAATAATTTTTATTTTATTTTATTTTTTTAAAGCATTTTATTGTATAGATAAGGAACACTATAAAGAATTTGATGATATATTTGGACAATTAACAAGTGAAAAATATCGATTAACAGAACAGAAAGTTGTAAATAAAGAATCTCAGGCTGGTGTATATGTAAATACAAAAATTTGGCTCCTAGTATGCTGTGATTTTTGTGGAAAATATCGTTGTATTTACAGTGACACATGTTTAAGTGAGGATAATTTAGAAATGATTGCACAATATCTTGAAAATATTTCTTATAGTTGTGGATCTCCAATTTTTCCTGATGATCATCTACTATTTGAACAACTTCATATACGTCAAAATCTTACTTGTGATTCACCTATTGAACGAAACTACTATTCTTGCTGTATTAAGGATGTTGATTTGTGTTATTGGTGTGGAGCGGAAGATGGTATTATTGAGCCTTCTGAAGATTTAAAGTCTCAATTTAAAACTATTTATCCACTTTGTATTTCGTGTGAGGCTAATGACCGTAAATGGTCTACTCATGCACCAATTGTATTTCAAAGCAAGAACAAAAAAGTTCGTGTTTAATGTAATTTATACTAGATCTTGCCTATGGATTTTTGGGATAAAATTGCAAAGCAATCCATTGTTCTGAAGGAATT